TGTAAATCACCTTAACCGATAGGCACCTCGCCCCTCAAGGATAAGAGCCGACAAGATGAAAACATTACTCAACAAAGGAGTAGAAAAAGACCCAAATGGTGAAATGGGGTAGCCAACGGTGTGCAGAAAGAAGTCCTAAATAGTTAAAAATAATCCAATCAGGATTTCACTAGTCCATCGTCCCTGACTATGACTATCAAGACTAAGTTACTTGGTTAAGAAAGTAGGCTACCCAACTTGACTATGAACCACCTATTAGCAACCTGTGAGCTGCATTATTGAGGGTGGCTTATTAGCCCTAAATTCAAAAGTGATACATCTAAGCTCTTATGACTATACTCGAGCAGAAGAGAGTAGAGTAAGACTTATATTCACCAAGGGTATGATGAGAAGGCCTATAGGGCAGAAGGAAGGACGAATGATCAGGATACAAAGACAAATTGTGCCATAAAGGACTCACGTTCTTGTCGAGGTAGGGACTGCCTCAAACAGCCTAAACGTGCTAAACAAAACCACCTAAGCGTATAAATCATATGCTTGGCTACTCAGGCTGGGAAGTGAGAACACATTCCCTCGTGAGATACAATATGAATGCTATTATCTAAGACATGCTATACATGGATGCTTTATTAATATGTAAGGAGATAAGTTCATGCATTTCTTATCATTTTAAATTTGGTCTATAGGATAGACCATGCAATAAAGTAAAGATAGAAAATAAGAGTGTTAATTTTAAAATATTGTAATTTTAATCCTAAATTTTATTAAGATAAATCTTTTAAGAATAACTTTTATAACATAAGATTTTATCCTAAAGAGCTTCATTGTGATCGTACACACATAAACTACATGCAAATAAAGGAATAAAGAAATACTCGGTGATAAAATGAACACAATAAATAAATAATAAGATGACAAGTGTTGATGTGTCGGTTATAATCTCACAAAAGTAAAAATGCTTAATTCTTTCCATGAAACCTTATATTGTTGGGGTGTACCATCTTCCGAATCGGGGGTGCTACAATTTAGGTGAGTGCGTGACTTTCACACTTACAGAAAAAATGTGAAATGAATATATTTGTGGAAGGGTTGGAGAGTGCCGCCTTCGATGGTTTGGTCACGTAAAACGTCAATCATCGCATAACCTTGCTAGTAGAGTAGATAGTTTAACTTTGACTTATGTTAAGAAAGTTAAGGTGTGTTAAGGGCAGTTTGTGCGTTTCAGGATAAACAGCTTATTCTGAAGCGCGGCCCGTGGGCCAATCACAGGATTCGACCCGCGGCCTGTGTTAGTATAAAAATGGAACTGCGTTTTAACTTTACAACCAACACACAACACATAGCCTCCACGGAGGGGTCATGGATCAAACTCAAGCTTTACTAACCAGCTGTAGCCTCTCTCTTGCAGCTTCCTTGAAGGAAGCATTGATAGCCAGCTCCGTCGTTGTGTGAAGTTATCGATTTGTGAAGTCTATAATGGCTTTAATTGAAATGTCATCTACGTAAATTAAAAACCCAGAAAATTCATGGGGAATATGAGTTTAATATAACATATCAATGATTGAATTATTAAGTTTAATTAAATCTAATATTCAATTTCTATTAATAGTGCTAATCACTAAGTATTTATTGTTTTAATTAACCATTATTAAGAATTTATTAAATTAATTATACAAAATAATAAAGTTGCATTTATTAATTCATAATTTCTTTGTTGGATGTTAAACTAATTAATAATAGTTAGACTTTTATTAAAATAATTAAATTTTAATATGTAATTATTTTATTAGTTAATTTTAAAATAGTTGCATAGAAAGTTTTCTAATTATAATTAATTAGAAAACATATTAGTTAATTATATTTATCAATTAATTTAATAAAATTTAAGTTAAATAGAAGAAACAATTACAAACATACCCCTCAATTCTTACGTATTTACATATCATAGCTAAACTTCAATTTTTTACATGTATGCCCTCTTACATGTGCATGAAAATGTGCATTTAACTTTCTGGAATATTAAAATAATAAATTTAATTTTTAAATACTTGTGCATTTGCATATCTAACACCTAACTTTTGCATTTACATTTATACTGCTCAAAATTTTTATTTACATAAAAATATTATTATTCTAACTTTTAAAAATGAAATTAACATTTTCATTCATCTGAAAAGCATATATATGTAAAAATTGAAGTTTAGATATGTAAATACATAATAATTGAGTGCATGCATGCAAAGCTTCCTAAAATTTAGAGTTTAGGGGTTGTTATATAAATAAATACAACTTATGTGGTATTTATGTAAGTGCCCGAAATAAAGTTGGGGAATTTACATAAATAACACAAAGTTCTTACGTGTACTCGTACTTAAGATTTGACATTTACATGCATAGCATTCAAATCTTTAATATCACATAAAAAATAATATTATTATCATATTTTAAAAGTGAAATACATATTTTAATGCATGATTTTAGTGCTATCTAATTTTTTTTTTTGGTGAGATATTGACCGATCTCTCTACGGTATACCTAGTGATTTATGGATTTAAAATTATAAATTTTAAATATATTTTATAAATTTCATAACTAGAGATTTACCACTCTTAAGTAGAAAACACTAGATAATAACACAAGTGCATATATCGTTCCAGTAATATAAGACTTTATTTAGTCCCAAATATCGAACCCATAGGGAACCGAAGAAGACAATCTCTTTAGTTGAAGTTCTAGTCTACTACTATAAGATCCTAGTTTGGAGTGTCGATAAAGGTGGTTTTGCTATTACTACTCTTAAGTTACAATTTTAATCCCGTGTTAAAACCTATCTAGAGCAATCAATAAGGTCAAACTCAAGATTGATAAAAAGTACTTTTCTCTTGTGAATAATTAAGTTGGTTGTAGGTGTGAAGTTTAAGAATGTAAATAAAGTAGTGACAAAAGGAGCATATGTCTATCTACCATCTTCCGAGTTTTACATATGATTGGTTCACTAATTAGTTATTTTCTTTTGGCAACAGTGCCAGTTTAATATTGGCTTCCCATAACTGTATGCCCCGTCTATCACCCAGAAAACTCTAATCTAAACCTCCCAGAATACTTATCTCCCTAACTTTGCACAATAACTTAACTATTACGTTTCATAGTTAAATGGACAATGTGAACATTCTCATGTTGATTCGTCGCCGCGCATGGTCAAGTCAAATATGTCACAACAAGTTTTAACAAATCTTATGGTCAGTAAGATATTTAAATTAAGTCTTGCAGAACATTCATCACATACAAAATTAAGATTTATTCTTAAACTTCAACACCCTACACTTACTACCAAATAATCACAAAAAAAAAGTACAAGGTTTCTACTCACAATGCATGATAAATTCAATAAAAAACTCATGAAACAAAGCAATTAAACTAAATAGGTGTTGTAAATGATCACAAGACAATGAAACAATCTCTGCTTAGCAAAACAATTTCACTAAATACATATTTGTTGGATTACAAAGCAATCAAACATATAATACTTAGCTTTAATCTCTCTGGAATCCTTCGACTGAAGTTCTCTACTCCTCATTGCAATTGTTGTACAATCCCTTACAAATGCTCTCAAATTCCCTTACAAATCCCTCTAAATTAGTGAATTCCTACTCCTAATATGGATTTTCTGAAGTCTTCGAGGAGTTCCAGACCTTGGAACTTCGTTCCCAAATCCTCAAATGGCAGAAAATCTCATTTTCCATCGTCTCGAACCGCTAAATAACTCCCACAAATCTGCTCCAGACAGTTCTAGCTGGCGCCTAAGCGTCCCCCTCTCTGTCCCCCCGGTATGGTTCTAGGCGTCAGGAAGTGGTGCCTAGGCGCCGTCTTCTCTGTTTCTTGGTAGTATTATGGCTCCTGGGCATCAGTTCGCTGCACTCAATATCGCTCCAATTGTCTTGTTTTGCTCCGATTTCGCTCCAATTCACTCCAATTGTTCTTCTTGTTATTCCTGCAACAAAAATATAAAAATATATTCCTTTAAAGTACAATTTCATTAGTAAATGAATGTAAAATGTATAGAAAATTAAGCATGCTGAAAGATATATCAAATATATAAACATATAAGAATTATATGTTATGCCTATAAATTTATATTGTTCTTCTTGTTATTCCTGCAACAAAAATATAAAAATATATTCCGTTAAAGTGCAATTTCATTAATAAATAAATGTAAAATATATAGAAAATTAAGCATGCTAAAAGATATATCAAATATATAAACATATAAGAATTACATGTTATGCCTATAAATTTACTAAATAAACTTATATTAAAGCAGAAAACCTTTTTCCCCTTCCACTCTCTTGCCTGAAACCATCTCTAAATCCCTCAAATCTGTTTTTCAATTGGATTTACTAAATCTTGAATTCAAGGCCATAAATCTTGAGATATTTAAATCTCAAAAACTGGCAATGGATTCAATTAATCATGTTAATCATGTGAGACTGTTTGACAACTTATATTAGGAATTAAAAATCTCTTATAATTGTTATACTTTCACAACAAATTATAATAGAATTCAATAAAGCATAAAAAAATCAATATCTTAGAACATTCCAAAATAACTAAACCAATTTCTTAAATTCAATTAATATTTTATTTCAAATTATGATTATTAATACTTATATATTTACTAAACTAATTAGTTATGAATAAAATTTTCATTAAATTAATTATTAAATAGAAATTTATTATTTTTAAGAGAATAATTAATTAGTTAATAATTATATTTATTAATAGTTACATATACATTTAGCTTATAAATTTATTGAATGAATAACGAAATTATTTATTTTTTATTAATTAATAATTAAATAATAAATGAATGTATTTAATTGTAATTAATATGATAATATTTTAGTTAATTATTAATTATCAATCAATTAAATTAATAAAAATAATTTAAATTAAATTAAGTTAAGAAAATTAAGTTAAATAAAATTAATGGATACCGTCGCCTACATTTCTTCCATCTCCCCGAAGCCCTCTCGCCTACATTGCTCCTCTCCCCGAAACCTTCGCTGTGCCTCAATCCCGCTTCTGTTTCCTCCAAAACCATCGCCTTCGTCACCGAACCCTCGAGATACAGTCTCAATTGGAGCTAGCTGGGAACGTAACGACGGGATCGCGGCTTACAGAGACCCGAAACTCCCATTTTTTTTCCTTCTTCTGCTCCTCTCCTACCCGTAACCATTAAGGAAGGTAACTTCACGTCTTTTTTCTTTTTCGCGCGAAGCCTCTGTCCCGGATTTACTAAATCCAACAATTCCTGGGATTTACGGCCGAAATCAGTCCCGGATTTAATAAATCCACCAAATCATGGGATTTACGGCCGAAATCCGTGAAATCCAGATTTATCAAATCCGAGGCTTTTTGTTGTCCAACTTGACCGTCTGGCAAGATTTAGGTTAAATCCAGCTTAAATCCTGCTCTAAATTCGTTACCAGACAGGCTAATCAGGTTTCTAGGATTTAAACTAGTAATTTTTGTGTTTGGCAGGATTTAGGTCAAATCGTGCTTCCAAATTACTATCTAGCAAGATTTATGTTTTGGGAAATTTACATACCAAACAATTTTTATGCATTTATATATCTAACACCTAAAATTTGATACTTATTTTTATAAATCCTTTATGTTTTCACTTGATATTTTTATTTACGGATGAAAATGGGTATTTCGTTTTTATAAGGTTAGTGATAGTGATATTTTTGATGTGATGTAAAAAATCTGTGTTTTTTTGTATATAAAGATGTAAGAATTGTGTGATATGTATGTAAGTGCTCCTTTGTGTTTTATATTCCACTCAAATCTTGTCTGAGCTCTAAAGTTTTTAATTTGTGCGGTTATACTTGGATGATTAGGCATTGATATGATAGAGTGTAATCTAAGCATTTCTATGCTCTACCTATCCTACTTGGCATATTTATGTTAATTTTATACGAGGTTTTGATGATTTTATTACAGTTTGCATTATAAGCGGCTAGAACCTAATTATCAGATGGGTAAATAATGAGGAGCTTTTACAATTCATAAATGTATTGGTGTAATGAATAAGTAGCTTAATAGTTACATTTAACCTTAACTTGAACTTTTTTAGGATGAGTTTAGGATAGAAAGCTCCTAAATCTTAGAAAATAGTTGTAATATGATTTTTCTTATGCCATGGTACTCTTTGATTAAGTGTAATTTTGTGATAGATAGAGCAAATGATAAGTAGAACCACAATGTTGAAGCATGGTGAACTCACTCATGCTGTCCTTTGTTGCTTTATTTCATAGTTTAAAATATATTTCATGGTTTTTTGTTATGTCATGCTACTTTGACTCTTTGAGCATATCTGCTGGCATGCTAATTTGACAAGATGATTCTTTTATGCTAACTTTTGACATGCTATTTTATTTTGTTTCTTCATGTCACGGTTTAATATGTTTCTTGCACCATGCTTTAACTATTATTGTCATTGTTATCATTTTTCTCCTCAGTAAAGCCAGTGATTATTAAACTTTTTTGTCTATGTTGATTTCAGATCCAATAACCAATCTTCCATCTTGAGAAAGCATGGCAACATCTTCTGGTAAATCTCTCTCTCTCTCTCTCACTCTCATCTTCTGTCTTTGTTTAGGGTTTGGGGTGATCATGATATCATCAGAGTGAGTGCAGGGATAAGCTTTAAATAGTGTTTTAATGATTCTTGTTTTCTCATCCAAAAAGTTAGGGTTGAAAGTTTAAATGAGTGAAAACAATCGGCATTGCGTTGTTTATTTTGGAAGTTATCATTTTATTTTTAATTGGTCTGTGCGTGAATTGGTTTTGATTTTTGTACATTTTTGTTAACTTAATAAATAAACTTTGTGTTATTAGAGATTAGTGGTGATTGGAGTTCAGGTGGAAAGGCCATGTTATGTATGAAAGCTGATTAAAGTTCTGTAACTTCTGTTTGCTAATCAGATATATATGGGATTTTTAATAGGAGAATTACGCATTTGTTTTTTTTAAATGAAGGAGTTTATTTTTCAGTAGCTCCTAATAAGATAGATTGCCTATGCATATCTCTACATTTGTTTTCTATTATTTATGAAGCTGGATTTGGTTTTACTTGCATGTGAATTTTAGTGCTTTTTATGTTTCCTTTCGCTTGAGATGATTCTTTGACTAGTATTTGTGTTTTTATTCCTTTGCTATTTTCTATTTATGCAATAGTTGAATCTATCTATCTATCTATCTATCTATCTATCTATCTATCTATATAATTTACATGTTTACACACACAGAGATATATATATATATATATATATATATATATTAAAAAAGCCTCCTAATGCATTCTATGTGCACCATATTATAGTTTATTTATGGTTACTAGTGGATTTTATTTCTAAGTTTCTGCTTGATGTGCAACTGTGTTCTAAGAGTCCATGTTATGCTTACTTTTCATCAGAAGAAATTTGAAGATTTTAATACAGAGGAAAGTGTAATATTAGGATGATGCTTGCTTTTTGACTGCATTCATTTTAAAAGTTGAGTCGTGATGAATTATCTATAATTCAAATTGCCTATAAAATGTTGTTCAGTACTTACATGAGTATGTCTTGTCTTAGTTTTCTGTTTGTTTTGCAGTTTATGTGACTGAGGTGCGATAGAAAATTATGACTTAATTCTTCTATTTTTTTTCGTTTAATTCTCTGGCATTGGCGTATGACTGACACTAAAGTGCTGATAACTACTTGTACCGTTATAATTCTAGTGTCGTTCAAGTCTCGGGAAGACCATAGAAAACAACTAGAGTTGGAAGAAGCCCGTAAAGCTGGGCTTGCTCCAGCTGAGGTTGATGAAGATGGTAAAGAGATCAATCCTCATATCCCTCAGTATATGTCGTCAGCACCTTGGTACCTTAATGCCGAGAGACCTGTGAGTTATCTGGTTATTTTACTTTTGTATTTTCTGATTATTTCTTTTAAAATAACTGCAATGCTTATATATTTTTGTGATTTTATAGAGCTTAAAGCATCAAAGGAAATGGAAATCTGATCCCAATTATACAAAGGCATGGTATGATAGAGGTGCAAAGATTTTTCAAGCTGATAAATATAGGAAGGGTGCCTGTGAAAAGTAAGTTTTTGATTATATTCATTAGGCATTAGGTCTTTTAACTTTTTTTTTCAAAAAATTGTTATTAGTTTCATTAGTTTTAATAAGGTTTTCCTAAAATGTGTTGCAGTTGTGGGGCTATGACTCATGACAAGAAAGCATGCATGGAGAGGCCTCGGAAGTTGGGAGCTAAATGGACGAATATGCATATAGCTCCCGATGAGAAGATTGAGACGTTTGAGCTCGACTATGATGGAAAACGTGATCGTTGGAATGGGTTTGACCCATCCAGTTTTGCTCGTGTGGTGGAGAGATTCGAAACCAGGGAGGAAGTTAGGAGGAAATACCTTAAAGAGCAGCAGATAAAGAAGCTAGAGGAGAAACAGAGTGATCAGAATGGTGAAGGTACTGTTAGTGATGAGGATGATGATGAAGATGACTTGAAGGTGGATGAAGCCAAAGTTGATGAGAGCAAGCAGATGGACTTTGCAAAAGTGGAGAAACGTGTTCGTACGACTGGTGGTGGAAGTACTGGAACTGTCAGGCATGCTAATTATTCTTATTGGTGTAGTTTTGGTTGAATTTTTTTATAAGCTTTTGAATTTACATATATTCTGATTTCCTTTGGTTATTTTTAGAAATTTGCGTATTAGAGAGGACACTGCAAAATACCTGCTGAATCTTGATGTCAATTCGGCTTACTACGATCCCAAAACTCGCTCGATGCGCGAAGATCCTTTACCTGATGCTGATGCGAATGAGAAGTTCTACGAAGTTAATATTTATATATCTATTATTCTGCCATTTAAAATGTCCCTTTTTATTGGGTTTGTTTACTTAGCAATTTCTTAAACTTTTTTTTGTGCAGGGTGATAACCAAAATAGAATCAGCGGCCAAGCATTGGACTTCAAGCAGCTTAACATTCATGCTTGGGAAGCTTTTGAAAAAGGGCAGGATGTTCACATGCAAGCTGCTCCATCTCAAGCTGAATTGCTATTTAAAAACTATAAAATTCTTAAGGAGAAATTGAAATATCAAAATAAGGATGCCATCATGCAGAAGTATGGGAATGCTGCCTCCGAAGAAGCTCTTCCAATGGAACTTCTTCTCGGGCAGAGTGAGAGAGAAGTCGAATACGACCGTGCCGGGAGAATTATAAAAGGACAAGTATGTTTTTTTTGTAATTAATCATTTGCTGTTTTTCATCCATTGAACTTGTTTATATATATAGTAAAATGCCAAAATAGTCCCATGACAATTTACATTCGGTCATTTTAGTCCTAGAGTTTATAAAAGTGTTAAATTAGACCATTTACTGTTTTAAGGGATCAAAATAGTCCTTATTGGGGACTATTCAACCCATATTAAAAAAGGCTTGAGGACTAAATTGACACTTTTGTAGACTCTGGGACTCTAATTACCCCTCTGCAAGGTATCAAGGGATCATTTTAACACTTTTCTCTTTATGTATATTAAGTAGGATTGGATGTAGCTTCGTTTCCTTCTTGAGCCATGTTGATGTGTTGCGCGAGTTGTTCATTGGAAGGATTAGAATGGCTGTTTTACTTGCTAAATTGTATAGATTTGATATGCTGTATGTCTTGCTAGTTAAATCTCTCATGAAAAAAATTATGTCATCTGTCATCTATAGGAGGTTGCACTTCCCAAGAGCAAGTATGAGGAGGATACTTATGTAAATAATCATACGAGTGTATGGGGTTCTTGGTGGAAGGACCACCAGTGGGGTTACAAGTGCTGTAAACAGGCGCTTCGTAATAGCTACTGCACAGGCTCCGCTGGAATTGAGGCTGCTGAAGCTGCAGGAGATTTGATGAAGTCCAATATTGCTCTTAAGGAGGCTACAGAAGGTAAGACTGTTAACAAATTGGAAGATTTAAATGCATGCCGCTCAATTCTTATGTATTTACATGTCTAACACCTAAGCTTCAATTTTAACATACCCACCACCTTATCTAGGTATGTATTTACTTTCTTTTATGATGAGTTATACATTTGAGTTTTTCTGTCGAAATGAGAGACTGTTTGGAAATGACAAGGAATGAAAGTTTGTCTTTTTAAGTGAAGAAAGAGATACTAGGGGTACCTTTTGTAGATTATGGTTAGATTGATGAATTTTTTACTTTTAGTTGATTAATCAATCCAAATGCATGTTCTATGCATTCAGAATAGGAGGGAAAATATTCACATGAAAATTGATCAATCGAGGGACATGTTGGAAATGACGAGGGAATAAAGTTTTATATGTTTTTTAAATGAACTGAGAGATTTTAGGGGAATCATTTGTAGATTATGATTAGAATTTGTGAATTTGTTACTCCTGTTAATAAATCAATCCAACTGTATATTCTATGCAATGCAGAATAAGAGGGAAAATATTTACAATCAGTCCTTGGGCTAACTCCTGAGACTTGTCTAGGCTGTGGATCATAGCCAAGCCCGATTTAGGTTTTGAAAAGTAGCCCAACTTTGGCCTATTGGAAATAGTAATATTTAATTAGCAGCAAATAAATGTTGTGCACATATTTATTTAGCATCTTGACATCATCTATTTATTTATGCATTGTCAGCTGTGGGTTGATGTCGGGTTGCAGGCATATCTATAACATGTTAAAATGAGCCTAAAATCTTTGTCCAAGAAGAATATGAGCCGTTGAATTTATCAAGATCGAAATTAACAATCTAACATTTGAAAGCTGCGATTTTTCATTCATGTGGTGCTTGATTTTTTTCCATAATCACTTCTTTGAAGTCTCCCTTTCGTATTGTCTCTATCTGGCTTAGGCAGGACTTTATTTTATTTCCATATTGCCATCTAGCTCTGAAAAAGTTTGCAAATGCAAGCTTGCGACTTCACGGCTGTATTAGTAAGGATTGCACATTTTTTATGTATTTTCTTGATGTTTTAGTAATGATACAGGCAGGTTTTTGGGTTTTTTTTTTCTTTCTTCAACATTTTGCTATTGTCGATTAGAAATGCATTCTTGTTTCTTGAAGAATGTTTTTTATCACTTTTTTTATGAGATGAAGATTATAACCATTGCATTTTTCTGTCAGTGTTATACGACTGTGTAACCTTATTTAAGTTTTTTAAGATAATTTAAGGTTTTTAAGATATATCTGTAATTTTTGTCTGTATCAAACACGGATATGGTTTTGACATACATGGCATGTATTTGAATCATCACAAATTGTGTTTGAGCTTTTACCCAACACAAATATGGCTGGACATGGCAAGCACATGAACAGGCAATGACATTGTTAGATATGGATGGATGCTCGATAAAATATATTATTATTATTATTATTATTATTATTAATGGTGGCTACTTTTAATCTTATAATGCTTCCTTTATAATGATTTATTTTATCCTGTTATGCCTTAAGTGAAAAATAGCAGAAAGTTATATATTTCATGTTAACAATTTACTAAATATAAAAAATATGTTCATAGCATCCCATGTTTAATTTTCTATAGTTATGTTGTATTATTGTGTTCATGTGATGACATATCGTGTTTCCCATTCTGTGTTTGTGTCCGTGCTTCCTACCTAGCAGATCTGGTTGTAAAAAATAGCTTCTCGTCATAGAAAATTTTTAAAAATAGTGATAAGGAAGTAGCCAAACAGGGTGTGACTGCTGTCTAAAAAACTAAGTAAATTAGAAAGTATCACTAGAGAGAGTATAGAGCCTAAAAATCCTTTTTTTTTTCCCTATCTAAATCACTCAAATGGCATTCATAAAAGATAGACCCAAATAGCTTTGAAGTTATTTTTTATTTTTTGTATTTTTTGTATTTGTCTTTCCATTTGATGAGTAAGAATGTGCTACTGATAGGTTGGTTTTGATGTCAAAAATATGATTGTCATTTTCCAGATGGTAGTTCCATCCGAACAATTGAAGAAAATATGAACATCATCCTCAAGATAAGCTTGAAAGATATTTAAGTTAACAAGATGATAATCATATGGAATTTTCTTTTGGGAGAGTATATATTAAATAGGAGAAACTTTTAGTGGAATCCAACATTTTTTATGTGCGTGCATGTTTCAAAAGCTGAAATCTATGAGTACGTGGGCCAATTCTTTATCATTTTTCAAGATAATAATCGTATGGAATTTTCTGTTGGGTGAGTATATATGAAATAGGAGAAACTTTTAGTGGAATCCAACATTTTTTATATGTGTGCATGTTTCAAAAGCTGAAATCTATGAATGCTTGGGCCAATTATTTATTATTTTTAAATTAATATTTTTAATTATTCAATATGAAATCAAACACAAAGCTTCGTATATCTTTACAAAACTCTTTTGTCAAATTGGTTTTATTAAGAATTTGATTATACTAGCTTTTAAACAGCATCTTAGTTTCAGATTGTAAATTCAGAATCTTAATTACATTAAAGTGGTCTAACTTACTTATTAGAAAGAGATGTTGAGTTAATTTGGCGAGATATGGATATTTCCAATGATGATTTGTAGACAGCTATTTCCAGAGATAATATGCAGATGTCCTATAGATAATACTGCATTTCCAAAGATAGTAAATGCAGAATTTGAAATTCATATTTATTTCTAAATAGCATATGTAAATTCCCTATAGAAATCCACATACTCAAAACTATAGAGAATCACAATTTTGTTAAGGGTAGAATATTTTCAAATAGGAACTTCATAATTAGAGGGCGAACCGTTTCATCGAACATTACTGATTTATTATCGTCTTTTTCAACTGCCTCCTCAAACGACCAAAAATTTATTGGCACGCACGCACACATAAAGACAAACATACATGTAGGGCTATGTATTTAGCATTTGAAGGTGATGTATGTAGCATTTGAAGTAGAGATGATGTAGCAGTAGACATGAACTTGCTTTTCGACTTTGGCGTGCAGGAATTGGACTTTGACTTCAACTTGTGAAGGGTAAGGTATTGAGACAAAAAATTATAAGCACTGCTTAGCTTTATTGAGGAGTATCCGTGCATGAGCTGTGATGGAGAATGTCCTTACCAAAAAATCTCTTAATATAGAATTAAAAATTCACAGTCGGTGTCAGTCCGAAGGACATGAATTGATGTTTTGAATTGGGTCAAAAGGAAGAAATGAAAATTGTTAAAGGTGACAATAACTTCGAGTGTGATTATCAATTAAGGTAAATGAACTACAATTTATTGGTATAGCTAGGCGTTCGAGAGGGTCCCCACAAGTCACTATAAATTAGTGAAAAAGATGTAGGAGTGTGAGAGTGTGGTGGATGTGGAACTCGATGATGTTTAGCTAATTGACAAATCTCACATCTGAAACTAGATAGATTTTTATTAGTTAATAGCAAAGGATACAACTGTTTTAAATATTGAAAACTGGGGTGACCCAAACGATAATATAAAAACATAATAAGACATTCAGTGGATTGGAAAAAAAAAAAAAAAACTACTGGATGAAGTGACCTACTAAACCTTGCTTTTCCCTTGAAAAAATAGAGCCCGACTACCCGCTTAGCAATTTCAATCATTCTCTTCGAATGACCATCTTGAAAGATACAAACATCAGAAGAAAAATGAGAAACACAATCAATGTATATGTCAACTTATTGATTGACAAAAAGTTACACTTCAATGAAGGCACATGAAGCACAAATTCTAAAGTCAGATATGTTGTTAGAATAATATACCCTTTACCCTCAATGAAATTACGGGTGCCTTCAGTAATTTTAACGGTATCTCTCATAGAGCACGCTTGAAAACATCCGGTCATATGGTCCGTGGCACTTGAATCAATAATCCACGGAATAGAAGCAAAAATAGTGAGTGTCATTAGAATGTTACCTTGTCGAACATGGGAGGTACACGGGCCGGAAGAGAATTAACTAGATCCAATTAGTTTGATAAAGTGCTCCATCTGACTTTGACTCTCAGTGGATTCAGATGATTCTGTGATGTTTCGAGTGAGAGCCGGTTGTATTATCGTGGCTTTTGAGGTCGTAGTGAAACTTGTAGCAGCAGATGATTTGAGTGAAGGTTTATTTGCCGGATTTTCGTGTAGCTTCCAACACTTGCGCGGCTATGATTGGGTTTGTGACAATAATCACAAGTGGAGTGATTTGCTTGTGATGATGTGGAGGAGGGTTGAGCACTACTAGAGACCAAGGCATACGGTTCGTCTGAAGGAGTGACAGTGCGGAGCATGACAAGCCTCCAACTTTCTTTGTAGTGTACCTCGGTGAATGCAACACTGAGTTGAAGGAAGGGGATTCCGGCCGAGAATATGACCCTGGACTTCGTCGAGGTTCTTGTTTAGAGCCGCCATATATTGGAACAACACAAACCTTTTCCACAATTTTCTGGAAGAGGGAAAGATCGGCTAGAGAGTTCCATGTGTAGTCGTAGTAGAGATCACATTCCATCCATAAGACCACCAAGTTATTGTAAAAATGGCTAAAGGTCTTTGATCCCTGTTTTGCCTCGCGGTTCTTCTTGGAAACCACCTAAAGTTGGCTTGAATTTTCTACATTCGAGTAGGTATCCCAAACTGACGTCCATAGTGCATTTGTAGACGAAAGAAATAGATACGAACATCCCATCGTAGTCTCCATGGAATTGATCAGCCAAGACATGACCATGCAATTCTCCACTTTCCACGCTCCATGCGCTCGGAGGTTCAACAATCATCCCCGTGAGATAGCCGAAATTGCTGCGTCCTTTTACGAACACTGACAAAGTTTGGGAGCATTGAAGAAAATTTGAGCAGTTAAGTTTATGGGTAATGATCAAGAAGTTCATGCGGTTTTCTGGGCCTCCGGTCTGTGGAGGGTTGAGGTTGGTTTTGATCCTTTCGTGGACTCAAGTACACCGTTGGACGAAAGCTCAGTGGTTGAGGAGCTTGCCATGATTTTGATAGAGCAAAAAAGTGATGTTGGATTGCCGATACATAGGAAGATTCCGACTGTAGAAGGAAGAATCAACTACGGTGGGTCCTGCAGGGGATTGATATGGCCTAAACGAGGAGTTCCGACAACCTTGGTGGGAGAGAGGACATGCTGGAGGAAGGTCCGACAGTTGAAAGGTTCTTCTCAAGGAAAATCAGGTTGCCTGGAGAGAAATTTGTCCGGCTAGAGGTAGATCCAGCTGGCTGGAGGGAGATCCGGTTGAGGGAGATTCGGTGGAGGTGGCCAGTGGTAGAATCCTTACATGGAAAGGCCTGCAGGTGGCTGACGGCGAGGGAGGAGTCCTGGTGACGGCTAGGGTTAGAGCCATAACTCTGATACCATGTTAAACTTGAGAATAGAGCAGAATAATTTTATTGAGCAGCAAAAGGGATATAAATATATGATACGAGGATATATGAAAGGAAATGTATAATACCCAAATCTTTCCTAATAACACCCATAAGATAAAAATGAAAAACATAAACTAGGAAATACATACGAAAAGAAATAACAGGAAATGCAACATAATAAATAGAAAAAACTTCTATTAAAAACTTCTGAGATGTTTTAATATAATATGTTTGTGCCAGCTGAACTTCAGATTTCCCACTGGTTGGTAGATAGTATACGCTTGAAATGTTTTAAAAAAATTATAGTCAATTAAGCTTAAAACTATGGTCTTAATTAAAGTTCAATCAACGGGAAGGACTGTGTAAACAGGGAAGAAATATTTACTTTTGATTATTCACGTTCAGCTTCAATATTCCTAAGAGGAGTTAAAGGAGAGTCGAAGGCTTAATATATGACTTTGTTGTACGGCTTAAATTAAGTCCATAATAAGTTGGTGATGAATTTGTTCATTATTTTCCATGAATAAAAATTGCAGTTTAGAGAACATTTTTTTAATATTTTTATTTTTTCTAAAATGTTGATTTAGCAGAGACCCCAGAGCAGCATGAAGAGAAGAAGCTAGCTACATGGGGAACTGAAGTCCCACAGGATTTGGTTCTTGATCAAAAACTTCTTGTGGAGTCTCTTAAGAGGGTGAGCATATCAATGTTCTGTTTTTCCATTTCTAAATGAAATGAAGCATCTTTTCTAAGGCAAATGAGCCGAGCTTATTGGAGCTCAGTGTTATTCAACTTGGCCCATGTATATATATCTTAAATGTAAATATGGAAGATTTACAAAGATACCACTCAATTCCTATGTATTTACATATTTAACACCTAAACTTAAAATTTTATATATATGGTGCCTTAACTATGAATGAAAATATGTATTTCTCTTTTTAAAAGTTAATAGTGATATTTTTTTGTGATATAAAAGATTTGGGTGATATTAATGTAAAAAGTGAATTTGTAAGTTTTAAATATGTAGGCATTGGGTGGATATTTATGCAAATGCCCCAAAATTATATGAATTTGAACAAACACAAACACAAAAGCACATATAAGTATATAACTATACACCCCCAATGCTTTATATGAATATAATCAAAGATATTATTGAGCCAAACACAATCAAACAAGGTGTTATTCATATTTAACTTAGTAAAGATGCTAGCTTACAAAAATCCTTTGAACAAACACAAACAACAAGCTTTTTTTATGGCTTCCAAATGCGCAGGAGGATCTAAGGAAGAAGGAAGAGAAGGATGAAAGAAAAAGAAAATACAATGTCAAGTGGAATGATGAGGTTAATTATCATGATTTCCTTCTTTGTTTTATCTATTTTGATTAAGAAAGTTTATGATCATTTAAATAATGGCTCCTATGGATGCAAGCAGGTTACTGCTGAAGACATGGAGGCATACAGATTGAAAAGGATTCATCATGATGATCCAATGAGGGATTTTCTCCATTAGTCAGTTCAGTTCTTCTTTTGGGTATTTTTCGTTTTCACTGGTTCAATGTTATTGTATATGATTTTGAATTTGAATCATATGTGAGTTTGGATGACCAATGTTTGAAAGTATCTCTAGGAAATATTTCTGTAATGTCATTCTGTCCATCTTTATTTAACACGGAATGATTGTTCGAGTCCTCTGAAGTCCTGTACATATAGTTTGTCATTCATGGAGTTTTAGATTGCATTTTTAATTTGCTGTGGTGACCCTCAATGCATGCATGAATTAGAAAAAAATACTTAAAAAATGAAATTTAATGTCGACTTCTTTAGAAAACATTTCAAAATATTCTGATATGTTTTTAATCAAATTTTTTTTCTTAATTGTGGCAAACTAAATGTGGCACAGGTTGTGTTTTAAAAAAAGTGGCAAACGTTTAATTATCTATTAAGTTTAACTTCATTAAATCCATAACTTTAATGCCCTGATAACTCGTAATCTCATATTTATATTCTCTTATATTCATGAAAATCATAGTTGGAACCACTTTTTAATGATTCAAGTATTAGATTAATGAGAAATTTACATACATACAACACATTTCTTATGTATTTACATATCTCTCATCTCAAAATTTTCTATGTGCAGGGTTAGGCATACCTTATCTTGACTAGATCAATTTAATGTGCAAGTCCAATGCCATTTAGAGGCTCTATAAAGTTAATTCTTCATTTGCTTCTTGGTGCTATAATTCTCATCGCTCTTTATGGTTCAAGAGGTGGATAAAAGTATACTTCTTTTTGGAAGAATCTCATGCAAGTGGCTGTTGAGATTAGAATTAGGATTAGAAGAGAGCTTACTTTTCAAGTCAATTATAATGTCAACCTATCTTTGACCCTTGGGTGGATGGTATTTCCCTCTATGAAAAATTTTAGTAATTCTATCTTTGCTATATTCTCTAACCCTATCTATGTCAAAGCTTCTGATAGAATTATCAATAAAGTTTGATCTTTACCAACCAACTATTCCACTTTGGACACTTGTGTTCAACTTGGAAACAATATTTCAATTATGGATTCTCCTACTAACTGTCTTTGGATGGATAAGAACAGATATTCTCATAAACTCACCTACTCTTTTGCTTATGACGATCACTCTAAGCTTGGCTGTGGCAAACAAATTTGTTTTAAGGATTACTCTTTCAAGTATGCTATTATGGCTTGGAAAATTCTAGTTTGGGGTTTACAAATTAATGATGCTCTTTTACTGCAGGGTTCACAAGTCAATCGTCAATGCGTGCTTTGTTTCTCTAGCCCTGAGTTTCACTCTCATCTATTTTTTGAGCCCCCCTTTCACTTTCAACTCTTAATACTAGCTTCCTCATGGATCTTTCTTCCACCTTGGCTGCACTCTTTCTCAATTATTAATTCTTGCTGATACTCTCAACCGTAAAATGACCAAGAAGTTCTTGTCTGTTATTCCCATTGAGGTTCATCATATTTGGTATGGGGGGAACTGTAAAATTTTCAAGAGTGATATTACTTTGGTTAACATTCTCTTGAGCAATTTTCGCTTACCTATCAATTATCATATATAAAAGCCAAAAAATGGAAGATAAGGGAGGAAATTCCGTCCCATATTCTCGAATTTTACATTTTGTCAACTTTTCTTTTTGTCAAGGCTTGTACTGACATTCTTTATGCTTATTTGATATTGATATTTCACAAATGCATGCTCCACTTCTCTTTGTTTTCTATGTACTGGATCAGTTTGGTTCTTTGGTTTGGATGATCCTCATGTTTTGAGGAGGTTGTTCGAATTTTGTTTCTTGATCTTCATGCTGCTGTTCTTTGTTTGGCTGTTTTATTTAGCCTAAAAATTACTCAGAAACTACACTCCTTGATTTTCTTGTCATGCTAGCTGTGCTCAGAATTTTTTACTACTACACTAGAGGTTTTTCTTGTGGCGACTGTGGGTTGTTTTGCTTTCTAGACTGTTTCAGCTCTGTTCTCTGGTTTGAATGGTTCTGTCATTTCAGCAGGCTGTTGTTCTCATTTTGCTGCCTTTGCCTGATCTTATTATGCTGCACTTCATTATCTTGGCTATTTTGTTTAGCCAAAGAAACTACGGTTCTGTTAAGCATCACTTTTATTTTTTGTTTTTTTTCCTTTCTTTTTTTACTTTATTTTTTAATACATTTGGTTAGTATAATTTTTATTTGTTTTTATTTTTTATTTCTTAAAACAAATCATATTATATTTTAAAATACTCGGTACACCTAAAAGATGTTGTGTTTCAAAAACTACTACAATCAAATATATTTTAATTCAAAACAAAACATAAAACAAAATAAAAATAAAAAAAAATAGAAAATACAAAATAAAATAGCCATACAGCTTTCTTTGGACTCGAACCTGATTTATGTGTTTTATTTCTATCTTGAATTCTCCTCTTGATGATGTAGTATTTGCTGGACTGGTTCTTCTTTGCTGGTTGTGTTGGTTATCCTCCATTAATTGTGCTTCTGGGATGGAGTTCTCTGCATATTCCCATTCAGTTTATGCCCATCTTCTTGTCCTGTACGCTGGTTCATCTCCCATCAGTATTGCTGCATATTCCCATTGGAATTCTCTGCATATTCACAGTTTTGAACGATTTTCCTATGGTTTTCCTGTTTTGCTTGTTATTTAGGGATAATTACATACAGACTACCATCGGGGTGATTTTTTTTGAACTACCAAACTGATGTATTTAGGCGTGTCAGGATCGAAATATTGAGAATTTGATAAAAATAAAAAGCATGGGCTGAGGCTTTACCATTATTTTTGATATTTGAGTGAGTGAAAAATGGATGAAAGAGGGTGGTTGTTCTGTAAATGGTAAGTTTCGTATGATCTGTAAGTAACGTGCATGACCCTTGACTTCCCTTGACTTTCTTAAAAAAAGGACGATATATTTTATATATAAATTTATTATATTTTGGTGGATAAACCAATGTATGAAATGTGTATTGTATTTCACTTTTAAAATGTAGGAAATAGTGATATATATATATATATATATATATATATATATATATATATATTGTGTATGCCTGTAAATATGAAAGCATGGCTGATAGATATGTGAATACATAAGAATTGTGTCGTATGCATGCAAATGCTCCTAAATTAGGTTGTACTAGTCGAAATTGGCCTTGGTCCAAGTCCTTGAACTGGTTCTTAGTGGACTCAACGATAACGTTGCAAATCAAGTTTCGTTGATGGCAAAGAAAGTTTGCTGAGTCACACTAGTCTGAACTTGCCCCGTGGCAAGTGGGCTTTACTGTAATCCAATGGTAGGGTAGTTTTTTTAAAATTGTGGGACCCCCTTATCATGTGACACTTCCATTAAATTCCGGATGTAATATTACATTGGGACTTCCGGATGTAATATTTTCTCTCTTGAGAGATTTAAAAAATCTAGACGCATCAAATTTTATTATTTATCAATTTCACACCCCAAATTTTAATATTACTAATTTCATACTCAAAAGTTAGGTTAATACAAAACAACAAATCCCATCATAACTAGGGGTGTAAACGAGCCGAACGCGAGCGTGCCATGCTCAGCTAGTGTTCGGCTTGTCAAAAAAGTGTGTTCGGTTGCGGCTCGTGTTAAACGAGCCGAACACGAGCTGTTCACTAACAAATAGTCCTTTTAATGACTCTAATCATGAGCCATAAGACAATAAAAGTTTGAACAAGATTTAAAATTATTATTTATATGAAAATATCATTTGAATCTAATTTAATAATTTTTATTCTATTTTTCTAATCAATATTTTAATTGGTTATAAATTTCGCCAAAACGAGCTGAACACGAATGAACACATCTTAGCCGACGTGTTCGGCTCGTTAACTTATTGAACTAAATTAACGAGCTTATTAACGAGCCGGACAGTTTTGACAGCGCTAATCATAACTCAGTTCACTTCCGTTTCCAGGCGCGGGAAAATCTTTCGGCGCTCGAGCTTCTCCTCTTCACGCAACTACTATTTTTCCTCTTATTTTTTTTTCTTTTGGCACGCAGCTCCAACTTCGGAAGAAGAAAACGTCCTCCCAAATCTTGTCTTTCTCCTCCTTCCGGTCCGACGCCGGGATCGCGACATACAAGAACATCCGAAACTCCCGCCTTTCTTCTCCTTCTGATTGGTCCGCTTCTACCGGAGACCATTGACAGAGTAATTTCTCTCTTGTTGATGTGCAAGACCATTGACAGAGTAATTTCTCTCGAGTTCATTTACAACCTAGCTTCAAAATGTATTTCGATGGTAGATTTTAAGTGATCCAGGAGCTTTTTCGACTTTCCCATTCAATTTCGAGACCTTTTTGTATTTCAATGTATCAATTCAGTCCAATTATTTTTAATTTTTATGAAAGTGATTTATTTGTAGGATGACTTGGGTTTAATCAAATCTATTGATTTTCCTCATTTTAATCTTTGGAGCATTTCAAATGCCTCTGAAACTCCAGTCTGTCTCCTCTAGTCCGATTATCCTAACCACTTTGTTGTGAGATGTTGTTAGAGTTATCTTAAATTACAATATGTGTTTCCTTTTTTTTTTGGTCAGTCTTTTAGATTGCTTACTACTTTTCCTTTATGCATTTTTTGGTTTTTCTATCATTTATTTTTGACCGCAAATTAAATAGGCTCAAATAAGCTTTTTTTATGGCACAGTGAGTTTGCAATTAAAGTGGCAAAGGTAAGAAATAGAGGACATATATTGACGATATGTGGAAGTCGATTCTCTTGTGGTCATGATATTAAAATAGTCATTAAAATTGTGAAGGCAAACACCAAAGAAAAAAAAAAAACAAAACCACAGATCGATCTGTTTTTGGGGATGTAAATGTGGAAGGGTTAGGAATGACTGTTTTAAATTTAAAATGTACTGAATTTCATTACATTTAAAATCATTTTTTACAACTCCAAGCAAGCATCCATATTTGCTCATATTATTTTTTTCTTATGCAGAGTTTGTTTGGTCTAATTTCAAGATTTATTTAATGGCGAATAGAAATAAAAACTTTTTCATCACATTCAAATATGATGGATATTGGATGCAAGTTAATAACCAATCGAGGAAAAAATATGAATATGGCCACCAGAAAACTATTAAAATTCGGAAAGATAAGTTGAGTTGACGATGTTAAAGGACGATGTTGAATTGATTTGTCCATGGATTAGAGGACATGAATTTCAATTACAATATCATAAATGTGGAACATCACCAAAGGAGCACATGACTATAACCAAGGATGTTGAAGTTATGGAGATGATCGTTCACTCTGGTAGATATGGCCGAGTTGAGATAGAGGTCATCACACAATGCGGAGGAGAATATGAAATTTCTCCACAAGGTCAAGAGACACTGGTTGCTAATAACATATCAGACAACAATTATCCAAATTTTGATTGTGTTTATATTGAAAATATTGAGAGAGATATATATAATGGGGGGTATTAAATTATTCAAGCAGATGGTGAAAGTGATTTGAAAGTTGGTGCACGTTTTCATGACTCACACAATTTTAAGCATGTTCTCCGGTCCATTGTAGTAAAAAATGATTTTGGGCTAAAATTAGTAGCTAGCAATAAATCTCACATTCTTGCTATTTGTTCGCATTGAGGATGCCCTCAGAGGGTAAGACCTTAAAATCTATACATTTATGACTTGGAGTAAATAGAGCTGGAAATAAGCAAACATCTACTTATTCGGTTGCTCAACAAATAGAAGATATTGTGAAGAAGAATCCAAAGATCCTTCCTAGGCAGATCAACAACAATTTAGAGAACTTATACAAGTTATCATTGTCATATATGAAGTTGTGGAGGTTGAGAGAGCAAGCGCGGGATAATATTTTTGGATATGTTGATGATAATTATGGGTGGGTACCTGCATTACATGCCAAAATTTTAAAAACAAATCATCGATTGCATATTACAAAC